TACAATTATTAATGAGAGAAGAACAAGCAAAAAAAAAAGTAATAAAAAATATTCACAAGTATGTATGTTTTTTGTGTTTTATCAAAATTTCAATAAAAAAAACTTAATAATTTCCATAAAAATTCCAACATAAGTTCTTTCCATTCCTTCATTTTTTCAGGCATTTGCTGTATATTGTGATAAGAAATTTTGTCACGCTATTTATTCATTACAGAAAACTTTTTTTGTGTGCTTTTTCCGTTTGTCGCTTTTCATTCAGTTCCACATGTTCTCATAGGAATGAACTTTCCTGTTGAACTTCCCATCACCCCTCAACCTTCATTTTAGGTAGGCATAAATGTATTTTTATTTAAATGAGAGGTAAATCGATTATGAAATAGAATGAAAAATGAGTCATTTTAACGAGTTTGCAGGTGGAATGTAAGCATATAAGCGTACATAAATATTTGTGAATTATGTTTTTTTTTGGCAAATTATGGAAAATAGCAACAGAAGGAATTAATCGATTAAATAGTAATTATGGGGTTATTTACTTATAGGATCATTTGGCAACATAACTTTGAAAGTAATAATCAGTGTCAAGCAGACATTCTGCGATCCTGTTCAGCATGTCGTGCTCATGAGTAATGCAAAGAGGGGTTTTAATGGTCGAAGGTCAATGTTCATTTGAGATTTTCTAGATTTAATAATTACAAGCTTTCTGTTTCAATCTTTACTAAATTCTATAATCTCTGTCTTCATCCTTTATGGTAAAATAGGTTCTATTATCGCTGGGGCACGCTCATTTCATTATGTAGGAACATGTCGTTTGACTGGGACCCTCTCCACGCACGAAATGTATACAAAAGTGAACAAACCCTCAATTTTAATTCGTTTACAGCTTAAATATTGAAGATTAAATTAAATCATATTCATTAATTATTATTGCCACTTCCCTTAAATTGATATTACCCCTAAAATTATTTGCAACTTTTAAATTTATAGAAACTATGAAACAATTTATGTCTGAAAATGGCTACAACTTGACTAAACATAGATATGCTTGGTGCTTGGAAATAGTTGAAAATCCAAAAACTCATTTTAATATATCTACGACTGTTTTTCATATTTAATAAATTGTTGCTTTTGGCATCCATACAAAAACTTTCAATTCTATTGGCTTCCTTTTCAGTCAGGAAAATGAAAATTTTTTTTTTATAAATTTCCATATTTTGTGTCATGATTTACGTTTTATAGCTGAATAAGTCTTTCTTTTATTGACTTTGAAATTTTCTTCTTGGCATTTTTATGTCAATTTGAGTTCAATTTCTTCTTGATCTTTTTGAAATAATTTTGTTTTCAACCCGAGTGACACATTAGTTATGAATTAGTGTGCATTCATTAAGAATTGACTTAGACTTAATATTTAACTACATCGCTACATGCTAGGCTTGGACCAAAAGCCACTAAAGCAAAGTCAGGATATAGACATACATGCTAAAAATGAATATTGGACAGCTTGAGTTGACATAGTGTGAATTTATAAAGGTCATAGGTACCGAAAAACCTAAGTTATCCGACTATGCTTAATATTAACTCTGTTTTAAACATCTAAAATTTAAAACAATACATGCATCTGTTTAACATCAATCCTCTTCACAACTTTGCCTACCAGGAAAGTACCTCACAATTCATCTGTTACACCTTATGAGCTTATATTTCTCAACATGTACACACAAAGATAAATTTTAATGACATTAACGATGTTAAATTGGTTTTAAAAAATCAATAAACTTTTCTCATTGAGTACAGCAATAAAAGGCGGAAGTGCTTGTGAAATTTAATGACATTACTGTGACATAAAAAATTTAAAATTATCAGAAGAATAATAAGAGTTGAGAAAGGATTCTTTTGCAGACATATTTATAAATAAACAGTCAGAATGAGCTGTGCGGCAGGTACAACTTCCCGTTTTGGAATTCATAAAATGCTATTAAAAGTTTCTAATTTCATTTCCTACATTTCTTTATATTAAATTGACATGCTTATGGAAGGAAGACATGGAAAACAAGAAGTGGTTAAATGAACACAAAAATAGCTGAGGCTTCTTCTTACTGTTTAAATTCATGATGAGTTATTTTGAGAAATTTTTGAAGTTAAATTTAAGCTTTTTGGAAATAAATTTGAGCTTTTTGAAAAATTGAGCTTTTTGAACATAAACCGAGCTTTTTGAAAAGATTAAAATTTTTGAAAAGATTGAACTTTTTGAAAAGATTAAACGTTTTGAACATAAACTGAGCTTTTTGAAAAGAATTGAGCTTTATTATATAAATTTGAATTTTTTAAAATTGAATTTAAATTTTTGAAAAAGAATTTGAACTTTTTGAAAAGAATTGAAATTTTCGATAAACATCGAGCATTTGCTAAGCTTTTAAAATTTAAAAATATTCTCGAGTTCATCCAAAGATCTCACATTTCACCAGCCATCCTAATACCTATCAACATACAACAAGTTCTCAATTTCATCTTAGTTCCAAGTACATTTTCATTTTCTCCGTCCAAAGTTTTTATCAACGACACTGCCTGACACTTACCGAAATTCAATGTGTCAGAATGTAAGTTAGAAAAAGTGAGACAACACAAGGCGATCAACAGAAATACACAAGCAAAAAAAAGCAAAAGCGATGAGCAGGTAATTTTCTTTCTTTCTTACTAATTTAATTACTAAACAAATTCACATCGGAAAGAATTTTGTCTATTTTATGTTCACATTAATTCCGTTGACCGGATAGAACCTAAAAAAAGAGTATTTGTGCATGCTATGGAAATCGATAGCAAACAGACATTTGAAATTAAATTAAAGTTTCTGTTCTTCTTTATGTCCTTAATCTAATTTGTGCAGATCATTACTTGTAGGATTTCTTTTTTTATTGACATTTCTTTTTCGATTTACTTTCTTTCCTTTCTTCTTGTTCTTCCGCAAATGAATGGGAAAATTTTGTTGTTTACCTTTTTTGTCGTGTTGTAGCTTCTTATTCTTTCTTTATGACTTTAATGTCTTCTGTAGATACACGAAAAATGAACATGAGGAATTTTGGACATGAAAATATTTTTTGCGATGAAGTATAAAATGTATTTTTTCTGCTTCTACATGCTATAGGAAAGAAAGAAGATTTTAAGACTTTGAGAGTCATTCAAAAGTGACGTAAAGTAAGTTCTGAAGATTCCGTTTTTCTATTTTCAGAGAATCTTCTTGAGGATGCAGCTCAATATTTGCTGCGAAAATTAGATTAAATATAATTTAAGTAAGTAAACACGTGGTTTAGCGCAAATAACTTCAAATCGACAAATTCAAAATGTTTCTTAAGATTCAGATTAATATCAATAGACTGATGCCATCTAGATCTACCTGAATTTTCACAAACATTAGTTAATTTAAGTCGTAAAAGACAAAAAAATTAAGATTTTTTGTTAAATATGGGAAATTTTGCGTACGTAATTTAAAATTTTACGTACGTATTTGAGCATTGTTGCTACGTTTCAAATCGTATTTCTTGCTCGAAAGACGCAATTTAGGTTTAGGAATCCAAACAGAAATTATATGAGCTAACATCAGATTTTCCAACTTAGCTATGATTATAATGATAGAGTACTTAAATAGTCCGTTTGTAGCACCATAAATACAAACACGATACAACAGTAAAAGAGCCTCAAAGTCAGTCAGAGTTTCCAACTTCAGCAATAAAGATAACACAATCTTCCTCCCATAAAACCTATCGAATTCAATATTTACAAAATAAGAAATTCTCAATATTCCCTCAGATCATTACATTATTCATGACTGTCAATAATAAAATTGTATTAGTTACATTCGAGTAGTTATCTTTTATTGACACATTTATTATAACTGATATTAAATTCATAAGTTTCCGTTTCCCCCATTCAGACTTATCGTCACGTCTTTATAGCATTACCTTCACATTCTATTTTATTCCATTAATGCTTAGGCAACATGGTGCTTTTTGAGAGACTTAATCGAATGTGAACAGGGTTGGTGTAGAATTGATTTTTTAAACTTACTTGATGAGTAAAATCTTGAGGACTTTTGAATTTTCAGTATTTTGTGGCCTCTAAACCCCACCCTGTTCCCCACCCACACATTATCAATAATATAATAAATGAACAAACTTCTTCCTTTAATGCTTAAAAAATGTAATATTCAATTTATTCTCAGATGATATTTTCCACAGTTTTTTCTCATTGAAATAAAACTTTGCTCCTCCAAATGACATAAAAATTTCCAACAATAGGTAAAGAAAAAAGTATCATCTGCCTTGATTTATCATCTTTTTCTCTCATTTGACATATTTCTGTATGAATGGAATATCCAAATGTGAGATTTATTGACTTCAAATCTTCAAAGAAGTAGAAGAAATAAAAAGTAGGAAGTAAATGTACTTTGAGGACGAAATGAATCGTGTTATGAATGAGAACAATGATAATGTTCATTTGTAGCTCATTTTCTATCACATTAGCTGATTTTTATATTTTGGTGAGTTTTATCTTCTTTTATGCTGTGACTTAATGATGAGATGTTGTAAGAATAAGGTAAATGTTGAAAATGAACAAATTAAGATAGCTAATATGGAAATATGTAAAAGATTTAGATACATTAATCATGAACGTACTTGGGGAGCTTAACTAATCAAAAACCAAATTAAATGGTAATTTTCTGTAAAACATACTAAAAATATATCATAAAAACCAAGCTTATAACTTTAATTATTTTTTTTTTTTTTTTGGTAACTAATGAATTTCATAATTTACAGTTTAACAGGTTATCAAGAAAGTCACGTATTATTGTTATTATATCACAACTGTAGATTTAAATCTTATCAAAGGTATTAAATAAGATTGAGCAATCTGAACTCATATCTTATCGCAAATCCCGTAATATTTTTATCCCTGATTCTATATAAATGCAATTTAGTTCATTTCCCCATTCACTTTAATTTTAAAACATGAAGAAATTGGTTCTTATTATTATTTTTGCTGTCGGACTTGCAAGTTGTCGCCGTAAGATAGAACTTTTAAAACATATTAATTCAATATTACTTTAAGAGTATCCTTTTTTTTAAAAATAAAAGCCAACAGCTCATCCAGAATCCTCGGAGGATCGAATGCAAATCTTGGTGAACTTCCATACCAAGCATCACTTCAATTTTGGGGAACAACTTTTCATTTTGCTGGTGCAAGTTTAATAAATACAAGATGGGTAGTAACAACAGCTCATGGACTTCTTGGACTTGCAGGAAATTCTGTGAACATAGTTCTCGGTGTGGTAAGACTAGATGCTCCAATTACCAGCAGGAGGAGCAATGAAATTCGAATTCATCCACTTTTCGACAAGCCAACATTGTTAAATGAGTAAGAAGATTTGAACTTTGTAAATTGATTATAAATTAAATGACAAGTTTTTTTTTCTTAACAACATTGCAACAGTTCGAAGCAGTGTAGCAATTGTATTTAATAACTTTATAGCTCCAATTTCTCTATCACCTACTTTTCTTGGATTGGATACTTCTGTACAAGTAAGATAATATTATAATATTTTAAGAGATGTTTCAGCACTGAAACTCCTTCTTGACACTGATTCTCCATCTACTAAATGTCTTAAATCTAGATTTCTGGCTGGGGTGCGACAACTGCAAACAAAACTGATGAAGCAGTCCATCTTCAAGTAGCTTCGGTTATTGTTCAAAGTTGTTTTGACTCTGAATTTATGACATTTACTTTACAACATGTTTGCGCAGGAATGGGTGATGCAGAGATCGGAATTTGTACAAATGATGTTGGAGGTCCAATGGTTTTGAATAACATGCTTGTCGGTATTCCATTTTATCATGATCAACGTTTTTGTGGAAGTTGGCAACCCGTAAGTATCGTTTTTGACACGTAATCCAACAATGCTATTTTTTAATCATTTTTAAAACTTACTATTTAGGATGGATACCTAAGAATAACATCTTACCGTACTTGGATAATGGGAAATACACCTCTATGATTTTAAACACAATGATGTAAAATTTTTATGTGTTAATTTTTATTTTTGATTTTTTCAATTTTAATCAAATTGTCTAAAATATAGATTAAAATACATTATGAAATCACCAAACTAGCTTTTCATTTGTCCAATCAAAATGAAATACAATAAAATAATTATTTTCTAAAAATAAACCTCAAAATTAGGGTTGTCGATGAGCAAACAATAACAATAAAAGAACAGATAGCGTGTGCTGGAAAATGATGAATCGAAATAACAATGAATAGTAAGTAGGTAACCTATATTTTATTGCGTTACATGAATAGATTGCTAAATAATTACTCATTTCCTTTATTTCATTAATAAAATAAACATATTTAGTAGAGATATAGGAAAAGCAAAGGCTATAGACGGAAGACAAACTAGGTTTCTATTTTCATTGTTAATGCTATGCATCCTTACATCCATCATAAATGTATGCCGTATACTGTTGTTAATAATAATCGAATTTGACATTGGGGAATGGGGGGGGGGGGGGGGAGGGGGCTGTTTCATGGTGATAAGAAAATTTATAAAAAACACGACTAACGTAGAAAGCCACGAACTTCCACGCTTGACTTACTTTAGATAACAAAAAAGCTGTCAAATTTCTCGAAAAGATCAAAAATGATAATTTTGGAGAATATTACCTTATAGTATATAATACACTATAGTACGCTTTTGCGTAGAAGTTAAAACCTCAATATTTTTGATGAGAACCTTATCCTAGTTAAGGATTGATTTCTAGGACTACTCGTTGTACCCTCCTCCAGAATCGAGAAGATTTCGTAAGTTTTAACTAGGGTGACCATCTAATTTTTATGAAAATACAGGACATTAGATAAATTTCCTAAAAAATACAGGACACAAAGGAAAGTTTGAAAATTTACGGAAATTTTCGTGAAAAAAATACAGGAACTGGAACAAATTTTTCAAATTTATACAGGACAGGGTTTTGTAATACAGGACTGTCCGTTGTAAAACTACGCAGATGGTCACCCTGGTTTTAACCTCTTTCTAAAAGCTTTACTGTGACTAAGATAGAGTACAACGAATGGCACTAGGAACCATCCTTGAAATAGGTAGATCTTTCCCGTCAATAATGCTACGTCATATCAAAAAAACCTTAAATGGCAGGTTTATGATATGACATAGCACTTGTTTGATTAAAACTTTATTTAACAAGATTTGTGCCTAGACATATCCATATCAATATTTGCCACACTTCAAATACATAAACATTTACGACAGTTTATATTTTATTGGAAATAAAGTTTATATATCAATACCTTTTTGTTGTCAGAGGGGAAAAAAAAAAACATTGAAAATGAATAATTAATTGATATTGAATTTTTGGTTCGATTTTTTTCTTGTGTTCCTCAATTTTCATTTCCGTTCAAACTTTTATTATTTTTTTGTTTGTTTTAAGCGGAAAGAAAAAGTTTTTATTTATGAATATTGTTCAAATTGTTGTGAAATCTGGTGGTTTTTAAATTTAATGGGAGTTTTGAAACTGGAGTGCAGGAATATGGATGATATTAAAAAATTTTGTGTATGTTTTTGCATACTTCAGATTGTACTTCAGATTTTATATGAAATAAATTGAGCAATTTTGCAAAAAAGATCAAAGTTTTGTTATGACAATCCTAAAATGCCACTTACTTCCTTCACATAATCCATCTCAAATTTAAATTTTTAATAATTCTTGCTTAAAATTCAAGCACCTCACTTAATAGTCAAAGAAGCTTTTTTAAAAATGACAGCATCGAGACCCAATATTGATGAATAAATAATGTCTCATCAGGATTATAAAGGCTCTTTTGCACAATGTTCCATTAAATTCACTATAAAATGACTTACATAAAATTTCAGAAAAGCTTTTCTGCTGCATGCTTGTTTTCTTGATAAAATTTTATAATTCTGTGGGTTGTTCGGATGTTAGGTGATGCTTACTAAATTTTGATTTCATTAAGGACGTAGGAATTACATCAAAGATTACTTGGGATGGTACAACAGATCGCAGTGCCGTTTTTGTTTTAAGCAAACCCTTCATTACTTTCTATTCTAGGCAGGCGCGTAACCAGGAGGGGAGGGGGGATTTGGGGGACAAATCCCCCAACTTAACAGAAATTTCTTTATTTTTCTAAGGTTTTTATGAAAAAATCACAAAATTACACCCCCCCCCCCACCCTTAAATTTTTCCATACAAAAAATTTTTTTTGTCCCCCCCCCCCCCCCTCTTCAAATTCCTGGCTACGCCCCTGATTCTAGGTCATGACTCAGATAATAAATCAAAAATGCCTTAACGTTACATTACATCCAAAACATCCCTCATTGAATTTTCATACGCTTTTCAAGTAGCAATTTATAATTGTTTATTGCCATAAAAAAATATTCTCTCATTATATTTCCATTACATCTACTTAGTCTTCTTATTTTTTTTTCATAAGCTCAACTTCCACGTGAATAACATTTGTATTAATTTGTTATACCAATTTATGCTAATATCATTCATGCACTAGATGTGTACGATCTCATTATATTCTACTCAAATTGGATTAAAGCTTACATAACAGAAAATTCTACAGTGCTGTGCTTTGTGGCATAGACTAAGCATAATCAAAAGCCATAAAAAATTTCCAATATTGCGAAATCGCTTTGAATTGTGACATAAAATTTGCGGATGTGTGTGGTGTGGGAGATGAGCAGCGGGATTGGCAACAACGTGAAATGTCAGAAAAATTTCAAAACAGATTGATGACATTGTGACTTTGTTTTCTTGTTGCTGTGGATTTATTGTTGAGTCAGAGAAATATTTAAAGTCATTAGTTAAATGTGCGTCGCAGTTTTGAGTATTGAAAAAAATAAATTGGGGTTGTGCTAGATGTTTTATGAGAAGGGGGCACGAAGGGGTTATACTCAGCACAACAGATAACACAAGCCAACAAAAAGAGGTTAAACATGACGTAGATTCAGTTTTGTGCCACATCTATGCCAAATCAAGCTTTAAACTCACCTCACACCTGCTTAGTGCATCAATTAAAAGAATTGAACTTAAAATATTCACAAAAATTGAAAATTTTGTGTGAATATGATTCTCTCAATTTACAGTTATATCCACAAAAGACACCAAAAAGACAAAATCCCATAGACCTCCTCAACAACAATAAAAGTTATAAAGTCCCAACAAAGGTATCCTCATTAATGTCATAAAATATGGTCGATATTATCCCCAAGCGCCTACCTAAAATCACTTGTGCATGCTCAATCCACATAATTTTTTAGCCCATCAAATCCCATCCACAAAATAGCCCACGAAATGCGAAGCAGATACACGTTTACATAAGTGAGGAGATAGAGACATATCGTTCAATTTAAAGGTCTATTAAGTGAGACAGATAGATCGGTAAGGTTTGATATAATAAATACATTTTATTGTATTCGTGTAGTGTAGATATAATGCGACATTAGAGAAAAGGTCGATCGCTCTCGTAAGTACGATAAATGATTTTATTTTTGTCACTAGCATGAGATTTCAATAAGCTTGAAAATTTTTCGCCTATAAACTTTCCTTTTTCGTGTAATTCACAAAATGGTAACAAACAAAAGCATTGATTGCCTCAATTTGCCATCATCGTGTAATATCATGATAAGTGAATTCATATCCAATTTTATATGGCATTGAGGATGCTCGTGCATTGAATGGGGTTGAAAAGGAAAACAAATATAAAAAAATCCGGAAATTAATTTTTCTCTTTTTTGCTTTCTTTTGGTATGATTCGAGGAAGAGGATTAATGCTGCAGTGACTCACTGATACTGTTTGTATTTTTTTGAAGATGAGCTTGTTTTTATGGAAAATGTGGTATCTTTTTGGTAAATTATTAAATTATTCCTTGTGTTCAATTCATTCAATATACAATGTAAATTATGTTCATGTGTAATTTTTTTATGGCACACAACAGTTGCAAGGATATTATATGGCACACAACAATTGCAAGGATATTGTATGGCACACAACAATTGCAATAATATTTTATGGCTCGCAACAGTTACAATGATATTATTTGGCGCGCAACAGTTGCGAGGATATTAAATGGCACACAACAGTTGAAAGGATATTATATGGCGCGCAACAGTTGCTTTAGATTTTTATGGCATGCAAAAGTTGCATTGGTTCTCAATTATTATTCGTCAATAATTTTAAAATAAAGCGCAACTGCTAGACAAAGATTAATTTTAATGTGACGCACAACTGCTATGCAATGATTTCCATCATTGGTGAACATCACAAATGTAATGCCCCTCATATAAAGTGGTATCATACGTCTGATAAGCTTTTCTAATCCATATCAAGTATGAATGTTCAAATACTTTAATACAAATTAAACAGACTAGATACGCCAAAAGTGATGGGGATTAACATTTTAGGCTCTCTTTATATTTTTCATATAATATGTTTCTCATCCTCATACAGTGGGTTGACATTGGAGCTGCTAAAATTGGAATACAATAGGATTAACTTTTATTATTCTTGTCTATTTGTGGCTTCCATTTCCAACATCAATTTTTACGCAATCTTTTTCGACCTCCTCCTCTCATCCATGATTATTGTTCGGTTGGTTGATAATCAAAAAATGAACACACTGGGAAGCTCGTTGAAGATGTCAAGTACAATGTAACTGGAATATTATATAATAGCTTCACATTCACATCATAAAAACAGCATCGTTGACATTTTTTTTTTCATCTCTCTCTTCTGCTCTTTGATCACTTTCATTGCTATTATACTCAATGTCTGATACATTGAGTCGCATATAATGACATAAAATAGGCGGAAGTCCATATGACATGCTATTCACATGGATTGTAATGTGAAGAAGAAAGAAAAAAGCATTTCTTTTTGTGTTCTTAACTTCTTCTTTTGAATGACTTCGTTTGTTGAGACATGTGCTGTGGTTTTGTTTGCTTGCATGCACTTATG